TCGTCGGATCGTCTCTCCCTTCGCTCGTCCTCTTTGTTCCGCGCCATCTCTCAAAGTGACTGACTGCCTCCTTTATTATCCGCTTGTCAGCATTTTTACACTTTTATCCGAAGCTCTCCCGGCTCTCTATTGTTCCCGCGGCGAATTCGTACGGTCACAATACGGTCTTGAAGGACTTCAACATGCGGATCATTGTCACGGTGTCGTCGGTTCTCTTGTCATTTGGCAGTGTACTGTAGTTTAGAACGACCGCGATATTCAATGCGCCGAATCGACCGAAAATGGATCGGCGAATAACGAGGTTCGTATTTGTTCTCAGGTAGCCGTTAATACAAGTCTTCGAGAGAAAGCGAGGCACTTTGTGATTCGCGGATAAGAAAAAAAAAGACGCTCCGCGCGTATAGTTTTTATACAAACTACTGACTATTTTCTCTCTCTTTCATTTTCTCACGTGTTTTCACATTTTAACAATCGTGCGATTCTCGAAATTTTCCTACATAAATTTTCAATCCAAGTGTAAAATTTGATGTACAACCGAAAAATGGAAAGACCACTTTCTATTTATGTAGAAATATTAAATCTAAACGAACAATTTAAACATAAAGGACTTGTTTCTTAGACTATAATAATGGGAGAAAGTTCTCATAAATCTATCTTTCTGTTGTAGCAACTCAATGGAGAGACAGCACAATGATGGGCAATTAGTCTCGCTTTATTTATTGTCGCTCACCAAAGTACATTTCACGACAATATATCTAACAGTTCTTTTGTTATCTATCGTTTACAGGGCTTGCATTTTTCTGTTAAATACATGATGTTGTAGTGTTTTCGTTATCTTCTGTCTTTCTTTATATTTTGGCACCTTTTGTTGACAGACACCGGATATTATCATCTTGTCACGACAAATTATGCGGGGAGTCTTGAACCTTAGCTTAGGTGCAGTATTTATTCTACAAAACTCAGGTACTTGTGTACCTAATGATGTCCAGTTGTTTTTAGAAACGTATTTTTCAGTGCGGCATCTATTTAAAAATAAATGCATTCTGTTATGAAAAATGTTTTTTGTCAGCAGAGGTTGAAAAAAACCGAGTAGACAGCTTTGTGCAAACAAATAAAAGTGTAAAGAACACGTCATTCTCAGATATTACGAGTAACATTTATTATGTGTTACATAACAAAATGAATTACACGTCAAAAGAAGAAAAATATCTCGTTTGTATAAGATCAATTAACCTTGTTTTAAATATGAGTAACTTTGATATACTGCGGTCGCTGATAAAGCGTACAACAATGATTCGATCGCGCAAAAAGATCTTCTTGTCAACATAATTTACGAGACTACTAAAATACAACATTCTGCGACTGTTGAAATTACAGCGAATGTACTTAATATCGAAATTTATCCGGTAAATATTGATTATAATAGGAGCACACACGCCAAATATCGGATTGAATCTGTTATCGAGACGAGTGTCGGCTGTAAATGTTCGAAGAAAGGCACGAGAAGCCGACCCGAGATGAAAGAGAACTATATTAGCCGTAAACTCATCTGTCAGTGTCAAGACGTCAAAGAATCGCCTTCAGGATATTAGTGGCGCCATAACAACCGACAGTTTACGTAGACGCGTGACTACCTTTTTTTTCTTTTAAAAAGTTGAGGTACAAAGAGAGATACGATATTGACATTGAATGAAATGTGGAAATGTGTGCGATCCTACAGCGAATTAATATAATTATAAAAAAGATGTTTATACACGTACAAAATCATAATAATCTCTCTATGAAATCCATCATTTCTATTAATTTTCAAAATAGATTTATTATAATTTTTTGCACGTAATAAATCTCTTTCAATTTTATCGCTTCTCAAATGATCTGTCGAAATGTAACAATAACTACATAGTTGTATAACTATATTAAACGTTTTATTGGATAAATGTTGCGAAGAAGAGACCTGGAGATCATTCTTGAAATTAATAGATGACATTTTTTACGATTGCAAAAATAGAAAACATAATTCTTGACGTGTAATATTTTTTTATACTATCTATATACTATCGATTCTTAAACATCAAATATGTAACGGCGTCTACATTGAATATTTTAGCGTGAAAACAGTAAAGCGTACTTTTTTAGTTTGATAGGTAGACAAGATTTAATCATTTTTACCAAGATGGAAAAATTAACGGTGCCGCAGACATGTGGCAAAACCAATATCGCGTGACAATTGCGGTGAAAATTACTTCTCGAAGCGAGCAAAAGTAACGTCGTGTCTTCGTACATTGTGGATTTCTATTCACGGTTCATATTATATATAATAGTTAATGATACCGAGAATGTTATAATGAATTCCAGCGTAAATTACAGTCGACATACCTATATGCATTTCTCAGATACTGTTCGGTTGCATTCCTGCGCGAAGTGCTCCCCGGGGTAATTATTGTTTACCGCGGGTATGCGGTCTACGAAGCGGGCGTGTGGATATCGTCATAATTCGTCGTAATTACCTTGTAACATAGTTACTTCATCGATCGCTTTATCTTGCTTAAGCTGTACTTAGCGGAATGGCCATAATCGCCTAACCGCGGAGCGTTTTAGTTTGAACGAGGTCTGATAGTCGAGCTCTTTAATGGCCGTATCGCTCGTCAAGGGGACGCGTACAGTGCGTGCCTGGCGAGCGCGCGTGTAAACGCGTTACACGCGTGAGTGCGCCGTCGGATTTCACCGAATATTCATTCCGCATGGTACAAATATACTCGACATTGATATTGATGATAAAGAGCCGCTATTCCGTTGAAAAACCGTCAGAATCGCAAGAATTGTTATTTTAAATCCTTCGCGTTGCGTGTACGATATATACCGCATTAAGAAAAATCATTTGATTGTACCAACGTAGATGATTGAAGGCATTTTGGTTCAGTCAAACAAGAATTTCTAGTTATCATGATAAGACTCGATTTTTTATAACTAGAACGTTTAATAGATTTTACTACAAAGATTTGCTTAGTATTTTCTGCTTGGATCTAGAAAATTTCTTGTTACATTAATTTCTTTGCTTGCTTCTTAACTTAACTCGTATTCAATATTTTTCATGAAATGTATATAAAGAACTAGTATTAACGTTAAATCCAAAGTATATATTTTTTCTCTTACGAGTAGTAGTGCCAGAAAGAGGACGCTAGCTCTCTGATTGCGTGTGTTTGAGCTGCAATCTTCTTCTTGCATCTGTTTATCAGTTTAATTTCTAATAAACTGAATTTAAAATAATTTATTCAATAATCTGGATTGAATTTATTCAATAATCTTGTTGGAATTCAAAATATTAAACAGACTTTTGAGATTAGATGGAAAAAATTTGAAACGACTTGATGCTGGTGAGTTTAATATTATTAACCAGAAAATTTTGTAAATTTAACAAGAAGAAATTAATTAGATTCATCTGATAATTCCTATAAGAATTCTGATTCGTCCATTTTCCAACAGATATACTGGTTGAATCTACCAGAATTCGAATTAATGGAACCAGATTTTTTCTCAGTGCAGTTTAATTTCTAACAAACTAAATTTAAAATAATTTATTCAATAATCTGGATTGAATTTATCCAATAATCGTGTTGGAATTCAGAATATTATTAACAGACTTTTGAGATTAGATGGAAAAAATTTTAGACTTGGTGCTGGTGAGTTTAATATTATTAATCAGAAAATTTGGTAAATTTAACAGGAAGAAATTAATTCTGATTCGTCCATTTTCCAATAGACATACTGGTTGAATCTACCAGAATTCGAATAATTAACCAGATTTTTTTCTCAGTGTAGTTTAATTTCTAACAAACTAAATTTAAAATATTAAACAGACTTTTGAGATTAGATGGAAAAAATTTTAGACTTTGTGCTGGCGAGTTTATTAATCAGTTTATTAATCAGAAAATTTGGTAAATTTAACAGGAAAAAATTCAGATTCATCTGGCAATTCCTACAACAATTCTGATTCGTCCTATTCTCCAACAGACATACTGATTGAATCTACCAGAATTCTAATTAATGCAATCAGATTTTTTCTCAGTGCAATACCGTAAGAATGCGCACTTGGAGACCGCAAGGGTCAACATCCGTCATTTCGGCAGCGATTAAACGCCATCGACGAGCTGGAGGAGCGCGCGATCGACAACGCGACGTAAAGAATGGCACGCAAACACCGAGAGATTGGCGTAGCCACGAGGCGTTAAGTACCGGATGACTCAGTGCGTACTGTGGCCGGGGCTGGAGCCGGAGCCGGGGCGATAATTAAAACGCTTTTACAAAACTGTAGGCAAACAGCGCTTAAGTGGCTGTCATTCGTTACCCCGTGGGGCCGCGGCAAGTCGGTAAGTCGCTGAGCGAGCAATCAATCACCCGACCCTCTCCCCTACCCCTGGCGGCCCATTACATTTCTATTTTGAAAGCTGCTTATTAAGCGGGGCCGGCTGGAGAGACAGACAGGTTTCACGGTATAAAATATCGGGTTGCCGTGGTGGCAGGAACGACGGTTCCGTGTCGTGGCGGCTGTGGTAGCACCAGCGGGGAAGGGTGGCGGAGGAAGCGACTGGAGAGAGAAAGATGGATACCTAGGCGGACGGAGACAGAGGGAGAGAGAGAGGGAGGACGAGCCGGGGCTGCCGCGAGGAGAGAGAGAGGGGAGGGCTCGTCGGTCGGAGGAACGGGGAGGGGGATGGACGGCTGTAAAAGCGGTGAAATATCAAAGCCGGGATGGGAGCTGTCATCGTCGGGCCAACATCATGGGTGGCGTGTTGAATTAGAATGCCTTCCCACACCCTACACAGGCACCGAACCCCACCGCAATTCTCCCACCATAATGCCATCTCTCCCTCTATTCTCGTGGAGTGGGGTGGTGGGGATGACAGGAGAGGACAGGTTATACACCCCGGGTCGTCGAGGCCGGGGCGGCGGGGAGAGGGGGGAAAGGCGAGGGGCGCGCGTTGCGCCATCGGACACCAGACGGCGCAGGCAGACCGTGCGCTCGCAGTCTAGAGTGACTCGCTCGCGCGAGCCGCCACTATTTTCCTGGATTCCGTGGAGTACGCGTCGTTTGCGCCGAATACGCTGTCGAAGGCGGTGATCGATTCCTCCCGACGGAGACGCGGGATCTCTCACGGCGCTCCTGCCGGTCGGGCCTTGACGCGCGCGAGCCACGGTTCTGTGTGTAAATATTACCTGTTGGTTTAAGTGCAAGTGAGATTTACTAGTGGGTAACCAAATGGTTGTGCTCGAGGAAGGCGGTATGCTGACTACTGGACACAATCAATATTTACCACCGGATTATCTTTCTCCGCTTCCAACCACGGTTAGTATCTTTACGCTCGAGTTTTCGTTTTATCGGCGCTGGCGAGGAATGTGGTAAAAATCTTTAGATCGCTGGATCCAAGATTCGCCGTATTCTTTGTTCTACTGAGCTTGTTGGTTCGAATCGAGATGCCACATTCCTCGCACGCCATCCATAGTCGACCGCTATCGTGTCTCTTTCATTTTCAACTTGCCTCGCTTTCGCAGTTGGACGCGAAGAAGAGTCCGCTGGCGTTACTGGCGCAGACATGCAGTCAAATCGGGGCGGATTCGCCCGCGAAGCCGCTGATATCGCCCCTGGAGAAGAGCTCGAAGGGGATAAGTATCGCGACGAACGCCAAGTCGCCGCCGGCCGCGAAGCTCGAGCGCAACAGCCAGCGCGGTAGCCCGACGGACGGCAAGTCGCTGGCGTTCAAGCCGTACGAGGCCACGGTCGTGACGAAGAAGACCTCGGACGAGGGCAGACCCGCGTCCAAGGCCAGTGTGCACAGTGTCAGTGGTCAGGATAGTATCAGTGTGAGTGATAACACGCCGGCCGACAAGAAATCGTCCGGCAATCGTACGCCGGTGGGTCGAAAGTCCGCGTCGCCGAGCGACCAGGCGACGGCGACGGCCACCAGCGGGACGCCGTCGGTCGACCACCGGAGGACCCCGGCCGATCGCGAGAAGACCGACGGGTCCCCGCGGAGCATCAACGGCACCAACGCTAGCAACAACAACAACAACGGCGCCAGCCCGATCATCAGATCCGGAATGGAGATTCTTTCCGGCGCGCATCCGAAGGACGCGAACCTGGCGGCGTACAAACCAGGACTTTCGGGATACTCCAGCAATCCGCTGTGCTGTCCGCCCGGCCTGGCCGAGAATCCCGCCTTCAGGCCGCCCTTCGCGGGCGCGTCGCCCTTCTCGCATCATCACGCCGCCGCGGCAGCGCTGCTCGGCTACCCGTCGGCCAGTCCGACCGGCGGCAACCCGTACTTGACCTACGCCCGCGTCAAGACTCCGGCCGGCGGCGAGGCCCTGGTCCCGGTCTGCAAGGATCCCTACTGCACCGGGTGCCAGTACAGCATGCACAGCGCCCAGATCATGATGGGCGCGGGCAGCTGTCCCAGCGGCTGCACCCAGTGCGACCATCAGAAGTACGGCCTCGCCATGGCGTTGTCGTCGTTGGGCCCGATGCCGCCCCCGTCGTTGTCCTATCCGTCCACGCTGGCCGGCGGCCGGCCCTACGTCTGCAACTGGATCGCCGGGGAGTCCTACTGCGGCAAGCGATTCGCCACGTCGGAGGAGCTGCTGCAGCATCTGCGTAGTCACACGAGTCTGGCCGGCGGCGGCGATCACGCGGCCTCGGCGGCCGCGCTTCTCGGCAGCCCGCACCCGCACCCGCTGCTCTCGCCGTCGACGACGCTCCACCGGGCCGGCGGCGGCACCTACCCCGCGCCGTCGCTGAGCCCCCTCGGCGCCAGATACCATCCGTACGGCAAGCCGCCGACGGGCCCGCTGCCGGCCTCGCTCGCCGCCTCGCCGTACAGCGCTTTCAACGCCTTGGGACCGTATTACTCGCCGTACGCGGTTTACGGCCAACGAATCGGCGCTGCCGTGCACCCCTAAGACGGCGGCGCGTCCCGAGGCGGGCCGCGAGGATAGGATTATTATTCGCGAAGGAACTGTTTCTTTTCTCTTCTTCTGTCACTCTCCTCCTCCCCCGCCTCCTCCTCCTCCTCTCTTTCTCTGTCTTTCTTTCTTTTTCTCAGTGTACAGTTGGAAAATGTGCAAAGATGGAAACGCGGAAGGACGAAAATTGCCGTCTGAGAGAGACTGTTGTGTAAATAGCCAATGTGTACCATACAAATTTATTTAAAAGAATTCTATATATGTATATATACATATAAATATATGTGTACATTGAAGATTATAATTAAAGTTTATGAAACAACCTGGCAAAGTGTAACGTTGCATCGCGACACCACTCTCTTGCGGGAGTCTCATGACGCGCGAGTAATACGCATCTTTATTCAAATCCGGTTACCAGGTTGGGAAGAGGCCTGTGCCAGCTGTGTAAGTTGATATTGTCATAATCGCTGGACGAGCAGGGCCTCCCTCGCTTCTCCCCCGCGGGATACGCGAGGGAGAATCTCCGATCGCGCCTCCAGATGCGCTTTTGACGTCGCGGGTCGATCTTTCGGCGCTTCTTTTATAACGCGAAACGGCAGATCCTCGCCTCTTTGCGAACGACATTAATCGGTTATTCGGTGACGCGCGTCTGTCGGGGATTGTAAAGTGCGTGTATCACGAATGTATATTTTCCGACGCGAGCAAACGCGAGCCTCTCATCCCAACGCGTTCGATAGCGCGATTTCGCGCGTTTCCATGTCCATGATATAACTGTGATATTACGCTACTTTTTCGAGAAAAAAAAAAGATATCCTCGCGAGAAAGAAATATTATTAATGAAAATAATCGAGACATCTCTCGCTGAAATGCATACATTGTAATTTATTATCGTCGTCGTTTGTCAAAAGATGAATACGATTATCGTTGCACGAAAATAAATTTTATTCCAGATTATATGTTTTCTCTTTCTTTTTCTTCTTCACGAAATTCGATAATTGCACAAGAAATATTCGATCAGTGAGCGTATCGAATCGCATTGTCTCTCTAATATCACATCGTCTTACATATTTGTCGATTAGCATGACCTGATAAAGGAAGCACATGGTGTACGATACGCATTATTCGCATTGTAAATATCTTTTGTAAATATCGTTGAGTTTCCATACCGCTTTAATAAAAACAATGTTTGTAGAATCTTTTATATATTTTATCACATTTGGTCATCGTTCGATTATATCCGATTCCTTCCTTTTCTCCGCTTTCAGTATGTTTCGTCATTTAATTCCTTTTTATATAACTTTATAACACAATTTTTTTTACTATCCTTAATATTTCGATTATCAAAATGCGCAATTATGCTTGTGTATTTTAATTTAAAAAGAAACTTATCTTTGTTTGCTGAACTTATATATATATCCATATGTTATGTAAAGATGTAATAAATTATTATACGATATTTAATTTCGACTTATACCGCGTTTTTTTGTCGCACGAAATGTAAAAATCAGTTTGCCTGATTTCGCTGACTTGTTATGATTTGTGCTCATCAGTCATATTTGACAGATAATTTACCAAACGCACTTCACAATCTGTCATTCACTGGCAACAAGGCGTATTTTTTGTGTGTCGAAATTTATTATTCGTTTTTATTGAAATAAAAGATATGAAGTAGAAAAATTTGAGAAATAACACGTACATATTCCATTTACTCTCTTTATCGCGTAAAATAATATTCTATTCAACAAATTTGAAAAATCAGGCTAAAGATAATTTGTGACAAATCGCCTGGAGATTTTAAGTTGTAAATTTCTGAAACTTTTCTTTATCTTTTATAGATAAAATCTTTAGAAAATTCTGGTTATACTCTATCGTTTCTTTTTATCATGAATTAAACAATTTTATAACGTTCGAGTTAAACATAAATTGATATCATTATCGACTGCACCTCGTCAAATTGTCAATCATTGTCAATATTGATTATGAGTAATCTACTTATATATATCATTGCATCTTAACTATATATCTGAAAAAATTAATATCTTCCAAACACATACATGTATCTTCTCATATCTGTTTTTTGTATGAAATATATATATATATATAATGATTTTATTTATCATATTTATCTTAATAGCAGCGAGTAACAAAATCAACTTGTAATTTAACATCACTAAAATGACATGTCTATCGAATAATAATAAAAAATATAATGTTATCAGAATATGAAATAACAAGGGGTAAAATTAGAAAAATGAGAAACCATGAGAGATTCGCGGAAAATGTTATATCACAATGTTTATGTAGGTACATAATATATCATGGGGTTATTTTCTCCTTTTAATCTTTCTTCATTTTCTCCTTTCTATTACTTATACAGACACTATTCTCTTACTCTGTCCTTTTCTTTATTTTTATGTCTTATTATGGACATAGTGGAGTAGAAACTACTACGTATTATTACCAAGTGGCGACTCAAAGATACCAAATCTAGTGACAAAATCTGTAAATTGGCGATCCTCCCGCTGCTAACATCGTCAAAATGCGGAGGGCCGCGTCTGTGTGTGCACACGAACGACGAGTCTCAATCCCTGGGGCACCCCTAGAAGAGTAAATTTATTTCTTTCATTACGGACGGAGCGGGTCGTGAGCTCTCGGATATCAGCGCTGCAAGGCGGGGCGCATAAATCTGCAGCCTAGCGTAGCGGGAAGGGGGGGGAGTAGAGAGACAGAGAGGGATGCGGGGGTGGCGAACCGTAGGTTTCTAGAGCCGCCGGCTCTCTCTCTCTCTCTCTCTCTCTCCCCGCAGGGAAGGGGAGGGTGGGGAAGGTGGGAGCGAGCCGTGGAGAAGGTCTGCTTCATCCCTCCGTCGTTTCGTTTCCATCGCCGGGGTGCCGCGACAGGCGGTGGCAGGCTCAGCTGGCTCAGCAAAGTGAAATATTCGGTGATTTTAACCGTCGGGATGAATGGTCCCGTCCGTATTTCGCCTTTCACGACGCCCTACGCCGATTGGAATCCATGTTATTTCGGGACGATTATGCGTGTCGCTGAATCTCAATTAGTAACTTGTCGGACGTAACAGGAAGTCTCTATGTATGTGTCGAGTCTGTGCTCGCCTTAACTAGCCGCTGTATTGGATAATGAGCGAATGAAAAAGATTGGCACTCTGCCTTGATCACTATACCCTGTTACGATAAATTTAAATTTGCGTAATGTCAACGCTTCATGTAGATTATCTCGACATGCTTTTTGATTACCTGTGTAATGGATCTAACTCGTATTACTTGTTTTATCATTTTATTAATGATATTTATTGTTTCGTGAAGTTTATGAGATAATATAATAAAGCATTCGTGCGACATGGTTACATGAGAAAGATATTTAAAAGGTAATAATCGTAAAATTTATAAATAATTGAGAAATGGGAAAAACACATAGTTTGTTTTTAGTTTTAATATTATTATTTATTTCATAAGATAACATTTTCCGATTACCATTTATATTATTCCATAAAAATCGTATTTTAATAATTATGTGTATAACATTTTACGTTGAATGTAAATAATTATGCAAGGAATTTATAAAATAATATTATACAGAATTTTAAAAATTAAAATGATGAAAATGTTTATAAAATATTTATGTACGAATACAATATCTGTTTTTTTATCGACTATCTTAATTTTTATCGCTAATTTAAAAAGATTCACGTTTGTTGAATAAGAATGTCGAATTTTGTAAACATCCAAATTAACAGTATAAATTAAACTTTAGATATTTTTTACTACAACACACGCAAGAACGTCATCTAGCATCGATCGTATTTTCACGTCAGCAAGTCCAACGGGTTATCCCGTCAGTTAAAAATATCATACATTACATCGAAATGTTTTGTCGTTGTGAAAGTTGAAATAACAAGCGTGAATAAAGGCAACGAATGACGTATCGCTTGCAATTAGTAAATCTTTAATGTTCGTGTCATGTCCCATAATTTATTATGTTTATAAATCAATGGAGTCTATCAATTTTGAAATTTGTGCTGACGCAATTAGAAGAAACATGTCATACAATCCGTCTCTTCCAAATTAAACTTTCCTCTGATATATTTTACATTTAATTATCATAAATTTTGCTTTAATTCTTTTATATACGTTACTTTGTTTCTCACAAATATATTATTTTTACATAATTTTAACATGGTTTTTACTTACATAATTTTATTGTTTTTAAGGAATATATCTTGTACATTGCGCTAACAAAGCAAGTTTGCGAAAATAGAATAGAAGAAACACTATATTTTGTATTCGAAATAACAGGTCGCATTTCTCGTCCTATATTAATTAAAACCTTCAAAGCCAAATGCGCCGCGTTGACGTTAACGTGATTTAACGCGAATTCGCGAGATTACATTACGAATAAACATGTCAATCAACCGTTCAGACGTTTTGTGGAAAATCAACGGCTGGCGCGTTTGGCAGCATGCTCGGCGCGTCTTTTCTGCGACGGACATGTGTCACGATCAGAACGTCAGAGTTATGGTGCGTCTTAGCTGTCTCCTTAGAAGAGGCTCTATCGCGAATCAAGGGGAGAAAATTTAGAGCATTTCAATAGCAACGCACACACATTAGTCAGCAATAAGAATTAATAGAATTTAATTTTTATCTCGTTGGACTATGCATTTTTACTATAAAAATAGATTCTTATATTTTTAATTTTTATTTCGCCAAAAATGTTATTAGAAGTACATATATATATATTTTAACATTTTGATATTCTAGTCAACCTATTACACTGATCAAAAAATAGAGTCGAGAAATATAAAATAACAATCGCGATGAATAGACAAGCAATTGCTATTTCTGAAACTTTTGTTCTTCTTGATTAGCAGCCATTAACATTGTCACATTGCAAATCTGGCATCTGTTTTCATTATGGCGAGATAAAATGTTGGTTGTCATATTACTAACATTTATTTATTTGTTTGTTTGACGTTGAAAAGATACAAAACATCATATCTTATTATTAGATCATATTTTTTATATTTCACGTTTATATTATCAGATTGTCAAGTAGAATAAAAATGATGAATACATCTTTAATAAAACATGTGACTTAATGCGTGACTGTTTTAAAATGGGAATCGATAAACAAAATTGATTCGAAGTGAAATATTTTTTTTACAGATTGAGTATTGAATTTCGTATTTGCTTAACAGATTTTTTGATTAGTTGTTAGTGTCAGACTTGTTGATAATGGCTCGTATTAAAATATTTAGCCATTCGATATAATCGTATAGCAAGAGTGTCAGATCGTCGATAAACTGTAAATTAAAGCAGCAGACGACTCACTAGATATTATTTACAATTTCCGCAATATTATCTTTTTTTACCGTAAAAATATCGGAACTTCCAATTAAATCATCTCTTGTTTTCATTGAAAATGTTTGAGTCTTATTAAGAAAGAAAATAATATGCATTTTTTTTTATATTATCAGAATAGCTCCAACAGTACAGCTACAATATATCTATAAACAATGTTTCATACCAAGCGCTGACGCGAACCTGTTATTTAATGAAAAAGTATACATTCCACTGAATATAGTGACACATTTGATTATTTTAAGAAATAGCGTAGCCTAGTTTATTTTGGAGCCAAGGTGTATTTCTTACTAATTATGCATATATTAGATTCCGATGTAAGTTCCATCTCGCTAAGTCTCAGCAAATGATGCGTTGGCTCGATCGTCGCTACCTATGAGAAAAAGAGAGGAGAGAGAGAGAGAGAGAAAGAGAGAGATTTCTTTGTCAGAGAGGAGACCCAGCTAGCGCGATTAGTGCGTCCCTGAGCGACGTCTATCAGGCGTGTTCTGGCCAGTCTTGATCCGCGATACATAGCGGATTTAGCACATCAATAACAGGCCGCAGATAAAAGCAGCCCATACATCGTGGTTGACGTATCGTTTGTAATAAAACACAAAGGGGGTCTAGCCGCCAGCGGCATCTGTGTACCGCGCTGTGCGCAGTCGTTCGTTCATTCTTGCTGTTATTAACAGGCCGTACATCGTGGATGTTTTCTACCTACCTACCGTCTCCCGCCGAGTCATACATCACCGTTGAATGCGCGACAGCAAAGAGCAACTATAATTCATCTATAAGCTACAGCCGATCCCTCCCAGCAGAAATATGGTGGAAGATGAA